AAACAGAAAATGCTTTTTATAATGCATGAAATTTAAAAAAATGGATAACAATAAAAATATGATTTTAAAAAATGAAATATTGTAATGGGCGGAATCTGCTGCAAATATATACACAATTTGACCATAAGTTTTTCATGTTAAAAGCAACAAAAAAAAAAAAAAACTTGTGGCTATTCTTGTCGAACATTGATGATTACACTTATGATATTTTACAGTTTAAAAAGTAATTTTTGAATTGGATTTAAAATAATACACCTTTTATTGATTGATTGACTATTAAAATAGAAAATGGATCACATTCTTGTTATTTTTAAATTTAATTTAAATTTTTATTTTGTTTAAACTGTGCAATCCATTAAAAAAAGTTAAATAAAATCATATAGATGATCTAATGGATGCTTCTGTTATTTAATTGTATCTCTTCATCAAAGCGCAAGAGAAGTGGATTCGAACATGCATGCGATTATCGTTATCTTGCAGTTCTAAGTGCAGCAAATCTCCCTCTGACAGCTCAGTGAAGTAAGTGACGCTCTCGTCGCCTTGCAATCGATACAGGAAGTGACACTCGGCAGGCTCTGTATCAGTGTCAGATCCTTTAGTTGTGTAGCATACGAGTGTGTTCAAGAGCGTATTATTCTTATATTTGACGGATGTGCTGATGCTATAAAACCCACTGACTGAGACTGGATATAGTCCTTTCGTTTCATCCACGTTGACCCCTTGAAGAGCGCAGTGACGTTTGAAGTCTTTCATAAAGTCTGAGTGTGGGGGCAGATCAAGTTCGGCAAATACAGAGAATCCTTTCAGAGGTTCCCAAAATTTAAGATCTGTTAAAATAGTAAAAATACAATTAAATTTTACATATTATTCAAGTGGTTCTCAATCCATTTTAGAGTCACGTACCCTAGCTTCATTCATGTTTTTTTCCTTAATCAACCTTAAAAAAATTCTGAACAAGTCGTGCACTGCGAAATAGTGACTATTGTATGTTCTTGTTTACACTTTATGTACTAACCATACTGGAATGAATGGCTACTAAAGGTAGTCTCAGCTTACTTGATAACATTCTCACTGCCGCCAAAACTGTCATTCTGCGGCCTTACAAATAACACCAATTTGAATAAATTACTTTTAGAAAATGTACGATATTTAAGCTTCTTTATTCTTTTGACACTTTTGGCGTCATCATACTCTTTATTATTTCCTCATCACCTCTTAGTAAAATCGAATGCTTAATAATACTTATTACAATTCATTCAACTTGCTTCAATTACTTCTCTTAGATTAATCCCAACAATAATAAGTGGAGATACGCTTCGAAAACTAAATCAAATATTTATTTATTTATTTAGGCATTTTTATATAGCGCTTATCATAAAGCTCTAAGCGCTTTACAATTATTAAAACATGTAAACTAAGTAAATACAAATGAGACACTAGGATAGTAACTACTATTCTATAGATTAAGCGCTTTACAATTATTAAAACATGTAAACTAAGTAAATACAAATGAGACACTAGGATAGTAACTACTATTCTATAGAAACAATGAAAATGGCTATAAAAAGAGGACACTTTGACACTTCAGGATCAACCCGAAACAGAAAATGAGGTAGGGCAAGGAGGGTGCATCACAGGTCATAGGCGGACCTAAACAGATGAGTTTTAAGGGACTTTTTGAAAATGGACGAGGTTTCACTATGACGTATATGGAAGGGGAGCTGGTTCCAGAACGTGGGCCCATGGAAGCAGAAGGAGCGTTCACCGATGGTCTATATACAACCACATTGAACTGACATCTATTTATACAAAAAATAAACAAACGAGAAACTTAATTATTAAAAACAACATTTGTAAAGCTGCTTCAAATAGTTATTACTAGAGTGCTGGATTACAACATGGGCTATTGCGACCCATTACATTAGGACATTTTTAAAACAATTTGTGGCGTCAATGTGAGGAAGTTTTAGAACCGCTTATCTAATTGATATATCTTTAATATTATAAGTAAATTGTTTAAAGTATGTTACAAAAAAAGACAACATAACAAGTAAAATAGGCTTAATTAAAATATATTCTTTCTAAAACGGTTCATCTTTTCAATCTAAGACTTAAGCTAAAAAATAATGCAGGTGCATAATAAAAACTTTATTGAAATTCAAACAGTAAAATAGCACAGAATTATTCAATTCTGTTAACAAAATTAGTTTTGTAAAATGAAACTCTCACCGATAACTTTGATTTCCCTGGTTATCTCTTTTATTTTTTCTTCAATGTCATCTATCTGTAAATCAAAACACACAGATTTACAATCAGCATTAGTGTATCCAAGTTGAAAGAAAATTTATGATAAGGGAATCATCCTAAAAACACATTTGATGACATCCCAATATTAAGTGGAGTGTTTCAAATTAAGAGCAAACTCTTTAAATTAAATTCTTGCCTATCCTTTGGCAAACTATTTACATTGTTTTGAAAAATATATTTAGATTTAGGACTAAACTAATCAATTTACCTTTAAAGTGCCACTATCTTTCATCGTCAAATTTCTGTTGCATATGTCTTTTAATTCCTCAAGGGAAGAGAGCCTCTTGAAGACCAGCTGACAGAGCATTCCATACTTCTTATCCTAAAATCAATGAAATAATTTGTAAAACGTTTTGAAAATTTTATTAAAGACGTCAATACTAAAAGGATTTGCTCTGTCTTGTGACTTGAAACCGGTCAAAACTGAGTCAATACCAGGCTTGCGACCGGGAGTTCAATCCACAGACAAAAGCCTAGACAAGCGAAAACAGAACAAGCCCCCACGTTAGATGGGACTTGTTAACCTTTGACGGTAACACATTTAAGAGAAGGACATTTCTAAATTCAAACATGGAGATGGTGTCCGTGTGCGGTATGACATTGGCATAATGAAAACTCTGGACACTTCTGCTGTTACCATCCACACATAATGTTCCCTTGGAATTTCCAGATGCGAGAAGAGAGGCACTTTACTGTCTAGGGACCCAGCTTATCTCACTAAAGCAAAAACTCAGGCCTAGTAACTTCGTCCTGCAAATTGTACTCCATCGTCACTCATTACAGATGGATGCCAGGAAAAATATGATATATATTTGTATTAATTTTTGAGTATTGTGATATATATATTTGTATTAATTTGTGAGTATTAGGTTTACATTTTACAAAATCTTTTTTTTTAATAATACTTGCAACAAATTTTAATAATTTAATTTAGAGCAATTATTGGGAAATGGATATAGTTACATTCAATTCTTGAATATGATTAGTTTTTCTGTGCATTTTTTAAAAAGTAATACAACGATTATTATACATAGATTTATTACAATAAAGAGATGAATCAAACAGTCACATCGTTAATTTTTATTTTATGAAATATAACTTACTAATGTATCATATTTTTCAACGCTGAGGGTGCAAGGGTCCTCAAGATGATCAGAGAACTTACATGACAGGGTATCAAGCGAATCTTCAAGTTTTTTAACTTTCTCAGTAATAGCTTCAAATGCAGCTTCTGAATGCTCAACTTTGTTAGACAAATCTTCAATAGATTTCATAGCATCCTTTTCAAAGCTGTTTCTGGAAAAGAACTGAGATGTCAAGGCTTTCATTGAGTCTGTGATTGATTTTACTTCTTGTTCAAGTGTCTCAATCTTGACTTGACTCTTAGCAAAATCGTCCTTTAAATCACTTAGCCCTGTATGACATTCCTTGTTTTTTTCATTCTTTTCGTGTCTGGATAATTCTATTTGTTCATGTATGTCTTCCTGTTGAATGCGCAGATCTTGAAGTGCAGTTTCCAAAGACTCTTGTTTCTCTTCAAATTCTTTACTAGCCTTTTGCATACGGGAAACATTCTTCTCGAGTGATTCCAGTTTCATCACGACATGGTCAGGTACCTTTGTTTCTGTAGATATTCGTAATGTATGAACCAAATCATGTGCTTAATTACTAAAAAAAATTAAACTAGTAAAGATTAAAGTAGAAAATCATTAACTGTCTAATACCAAAACAATAAAATGTTTATACTAAAATCATACCCGACAAACAAACAAAAAAAACAATTAAGAGCCAATTCAAATTTCCAAAAAAACAAATATTTATTATTGTGGAAAGAATAGCTACTCGGCAACAAATCAAATACGTGCTGCTTTACTTTAAGTCAAAGACAATAAATGTGAAATGCATCGTCAAATGGTTAGGTTAGCCTACTTAATGCGGGGGGGGGGGGGGGGGGGAGGGTAAACGGCCAAGGTTTCCCCCTTAAATCAGATAATTCACAACTGAAAGTCGATACATGGAAACATGTGCGGTTGTCAAAGTCGATAGATTGAAACATGCTGGCTGTCAAAGTCGATACATTGAAACATGTGCGGTTGTCAAAGTCGATAGATTGGGTCAACGGTCAAAGTTTACCCCTATAAACTCCCAAAAGTGAGCCCGCTTATACATACGCTTATGATGTATACACAACCGCTTGTACATACGCTTATGATGTATACACTATTATGTTATCATAACCCCGAAAACTTTAACCAGCGGAGTTGAACTCTTCGTGGCGCCCCTCCCACCCCCTCCCCCCGCCCCATAAACCGGCCAGTGTGGTATGATGATTTCTATATTTTCATTATATACAAACATATTTAAAAAAAAAATGTTGACTTGTTAACAAATATAATGTATGTATACATCACAAGAAGAAATACTCATGTCAGATTTATATTTTGGTACACGTTGTTCTAGCTTATTACCATTTTCTTGATAGGTCTCCTGTAATTTAAAAGCTGGTTGGGCGTTGTAACTTGATGCACATTGCACATGTATTTGATTTTCGCTTCCTTTATCTATTGCACCTTTAAAGTAAGAAAAGAATGTATGACATTGAAATATAATAAGATTATTTTGATCATATCAGAATGTCTCCTTAGCAAATAAAAAAATAAAAATTATTTATTTCATCTTAAAATTTCTAATGTTTGAAATGACAATTCTAATATAAATGAACCATACTTGATAATACATCACGCTTTTCATAACAATCAAAGTCATCATACATATTGCGAGGCACCCTGCAACTGGTCGGTTTCTTGCCCAGTGCATTGAAAATTGATAATTAACTTTATTTTACACATCACAACTTTTGGACCCTTAAATATCCGAGGACCCCACTTGCGAAAGGTCCTGGCCACATTTGACTTAATTTTGAATGTGTTTTACAAATTATTAGGTAATCCATTCTTAGCACACAGATGCTTGTAAAAATATACATATACACATTTACATGTTTTTTTCCGTATAATGTTTCTTTCAGCATCAGATATTGACAGCTTCCCGTTCTGAACATTGAGCTGCATTAACTTAAACAAGTTTTTCGAGAAAATTAGTTTCATTTGTTATGTTTTTTTTTGTTTTTTTAAAAAATGTATTGCCTTCTGAAGAGGGCATCGAGCCGAAACTTCCCCTGTATTGTCTTTTATTATAATTTCAAGTATAAGCATATCTTGTTCTACTATTAAATTTAATTAATTAAATTTTTTTTATTCCTGCTTTATTTATACAGATAATTTTTATTTTTTTATTTCAAATTATTATTTTGTGTTATGTATTAGCGAAATCATTTTTAATGTCTTTTTCAATGAAATACCACTTGTGCCGATGTTTTTTGAAGAGTAGCATTACCTTTAAATTCATTGGTCTTTGAGAGGATATATAGAATAATCCGCTGAACAAGTGGGTACATATGTTCAAATCTTCCTTGAAAGTCATTACCTTCAACATTTAAAGACAGTGAATCAGACTGAACCTGTGAAATATTTAAATAAAATTATCCATTTACAATTCATAACTTTTACATATTGTTAAATCCAATCAGGCAATTCGATTGTTAATTTTAGATTGATTACATATGCATTATGTATAGGTACAGTTAGTTTTTCAAACTTATTAACATCTATAATATATATTCATCTTTTATACAAGTTCATGTTATTATGTTAACAAAAAAACAAAAAAAGTAACTTGTGAGTAATATATTTCATGCTTACTTAAGATAGTGATAAGGCTTTTTTCTAATGATATAAGTTTTTATTAAAACCCATATTTCTTTCTTTTTTTTCTCTTAAAAAAAATTAAAATGAAATTAATCTGCTGCGGTTACGATATGTCGTCACCTATTGGCAATTGGAAGAAACAAAAATTCCCACAGAAGCTTAATGATTACACAAATACAGTTTACCTACCCCTATTTCTTAAAGAATCGTTTGACCAGAGATTTTGGTAGATTACCTTGATCAAAAAGGCCAGCAACGTTTTGTTGTAATGTTCAGTAACCTCTTGAAGTGCAGCTACTTGCTGTGTTAGGATTTTGTGACACATCTCGTTTTGCTGTGTGAAGGTTGTCATTCTCTATTTTATTATTTTTTTTTCTCTATTGCTGAAACATATAAAATATCAGGGATATTTTAATTTTAAAATAATTCATTTAAATAGCGCATGTGTGCCTAAAGTACAAAGCCAGTGTGACAACAAGCTGGTGTGAGTCCTTGTGGTCCTTTATAGCAATACAAAATATATCTTGTCTTAAGAAACTTAAATAGAAAGGCCAGTTATGTTTAATATATATAATTTTTAACATGGTCTTTGAAACAATAAAAAATCCAGGGATGCACAAATTATGATCATGGTATTCAAAACAAAATATAGTATTTCCTAACTTAACACATTACAATATTGCGCAGAAATGGGAATTTCATTGTATATCCTCCATATGTAGGAACCAGAAGGAGAAGGGTAGGTCCTACATGACGCACTCGGTATAACCAATATTTTTCAATCCCGAAACTCCAATTTTTTTATACAAATTGATATGGAAAATAATTTCGAATAAGAGAAGCCTTGACATTAAAATGCGTTGAGAAATAGTTTTTCATTTTTAAAATAGGAATCAAAGTAAAGAAAACAAACATTGCAGTTGAACTATTCCTTGCCCGGCTAACCGATTTTGAGCTCCCTTTTTTAAGTAAGTTCCAATGGCGTACTTAGGGATACATTCGCTAAGGTTAAGGTTGTATCAATATTTTTAAGCCAACTCACACGAAAAAGCTGTTTTGTTTTTTTCGAAAATACCATACCTTCCTATGAAGGAAAACGACAACCAGCCTCCCCCGACGCACGTGATAGGCACCCACGACACGTGCCTAGTATGAAGTCTGCTTTTTTTTTAACAGTAATCTAACAGAGTTAGGGAGACATGGTTCATGTTTATATGCACACGAGACCATATTGAGGACACGTTTTGAGCTTGATTACAATGTGAGTCATTGAGTCATTGTGTGTATTGGGTATGGGAATGACAGAAACCCATACGTCTCATGAGCGTGAATAAGTATTAGAATATATACAAGAGTTAATAAAAAAATTTGTCGATCGTTCTTTTAAAATTAACCTGCAATAATAATAATTACAAATCTATTTTTAATTATTATTACCTGATCCTGGACTAAAAGTTATATACATTAATTTTAATAATTTTCAACAAATAATTTCTCAGTTTCCCGATTTTGTTTGTCTATTTTATAGAATATGAGTTATGACTGGGAATTCCCAAAACAATTTTAACAATGAAAAGTAAGCCTACTAACATCTTTAAAGTTTTATCCAATAAGTACATTCCTAAAAAATGATGATGATGCTAAGAATCAATTAACTAAAAAAAGCTATAATCTGTATTTTACGTAGCATCAATCGGCTTGTTTCTCTGAAAAGTGTAACACTTTAAAATGTTTAATTACATGTAAAAGAAACTGAAAGTTGGTGCCCTGATTGCTGGCATATTTTAGTATTTAGAAGAATACATGAAATAAATATGGATCGGCTTTATTTTTCTTTCGACTTTCTTCTATATAATTTTAAGTCAAAGACTTGTGTCGTCAGTTCTGCTATTCAATCAACGGTAGCCACAAAAATAATTTTATGGATTCACATTTGTAACTGTTTATTTAAAAACCGAAGTTGGTTTATTTCCTTAAATGTAATATAATTTAATAATGTTAACAAAATTTGCTAATTTTTATTAAGGCAATTAAGGCAAATCCAAATATTATAATGATAGGAAAATACAATCATGATATTCACTTTTATTAAGATAACCCTGAGGACTGCTTACGATTTGCGACTGAGCGGAATTTGTCAAGAAACGTAGCGACCAAGGATAAAATGAAACTTAACAAACAGTCGAGTTTACTGTTAATGAAATTGAGAGCATTAATGAACAGCTCGCAAAACTGCATGCCAATAAAAACACGTACCAAGACAATACAAGGACAGTCACGAACTATATGAAACACATCAGAGCTTTAAGAGAACTTCGGTAGCAAAGAAACCAACAAACATCAAACATAATGAGTAAACGATATTTTTATGGAGAAAAACCTAAACGACAGTGTCCTTCTTATGAAGTTTTTTTTTTTTCAAACAAAAAAACAAAGTCTATTAATATTCCCCTTTAATGTAAATCATGTAAAATTCTGGGCACAGATTTGTGCATATTTTCTTTAAAAATTCGAGGATTTATGTCAAATAAGAATGTGGTGGACTTGCTGAATTTGACATATTAATTCATCTCACATTTCTTTGAACCTTTCTCTGCGAAACTTGTCTTGCGTCAATGAACATTTTGAAGAAAGGAACAGAAGTGATATTCGTTCTCCTTTCCTAGAAGCACTGCCTACAATCAAGCCAAAATTTGATTTACTTGTCAGGAAAAAGCATGTCCACAGTTCTCATTAAACAGACATTGTTCGTGTTAGCGATAATTTTGTTTCCTCCATCATTTGTTCTATATTACCAATCAAAACGTATGTAGTAAATATGTTTTTTTAAAATCAACATATGAAGACACATAGCAATAAAGATACATTTATTAGCATTTCTAATTGTTATTTATTCGAAACAAACCACTTGTAACAAATTTTACTTCTAAAAATTTGGTGACCGGCTCGAAATTAATTTTAGCAATTTGTAAGAAGAGCTAAATTTGTTAAGTATTATGATTGCTCTACAGGCAGTCATTTCCAAAGTTTGGTTACCAAGCATATTATTAGCTTCTTATGAATTTCTAGGGATTAGCCATGGGAAATGAATAAACTAGTAGCAAGTGACACACAACTTAATTAACCTTGACATTGTTTTTTTTCTTAATTCATTAACAGAAAATATTTTTTTTTAAACTATAAAAATAAAATTTCATACTTTAATTCAGTCAATAATGCTCAGTCGATTCTGAGAAAAACATGTTCGCACTTTGACACTTGTGTAGTTTAACATTTGTATTAAAGTCTAGTACGGATATTGTTATTAAAGTGGAATTATATAAAACAATGAAATGATTCTTATATGTATAATTTGGTCTTCTCACTTCATTTTATCCATGTTGTTCCAAGATAGGGTTCTCCTGGTGATGTTTTCTGGGGGTTTAAGCAGATTGTCCCCTACCCACCTACATTTTTTAATTAATAGAAAATGGCAAGTACTGATTGCATTACTCATTATGGCAGTTAAGACTATTTGACAGCTGCATGTGCTTCAGTGATAATTGAGCAATAACACACCCCCTGTTTATTCAAGTGCACTTCAAGTCGTAAGTGTTTTTAGTTCATAACTTTTTTTTGAGTAATTGGCTATGTGTTCATTTCACTTCCCTGTTTACTCTAAACTGATGATTATTGATATCTATTTTTTTTGCTAGTGTCTTGCTAGGTTATATATTTATAAATATATAAAACAGCTGCAAACCAACGAGATCTTTACTTTAACACTTTATAGCCCTCAGATCTTAATTCCTGTTCTTATAGACGAATTAAGAAATCTTGTGAAATTTGTTCTTTTAAATAGCAAACGCTTAAGTGTTTTGGCAACGAAGAAAACAAATCTTTATAAAGAGATTCTTTTTTTTTTTTAAATTGAAAAATGAAGCTATTCTCATAGTAAACGCGTTTATTGATATTTTTGTTTAAAACTTCATCTGAATTTGAGGTCATTTTTCAAAGATTATTTTACAATTTTTTTACGCTGATATTGAGGTTTTATTGCTTGAGATTTTCAATTGTTTTGTTAATTTTCCAAGCGTATCCCACTTTTATAAATTATATAAGTGCGTGGATATGATATGAGAGCCATTGCTCATAACAGGATTGTTTAAGATACTTAGCTAATGAGAGCTTGTATTGCATTTATAAATTTTACTCATCCTGTTCATTTTACTTCCTCTCCCAAAACAAAGATTTTTTTTTTTTAAATTTAATCAGTGTTGTCATTTCCTGACTGATATTGCTGAGAATGAAATAATGACAAGATCAATAAGCAAGTTTTACTAAATAAAAATCATTTAATTTTTGTTTAATGTTTTTAAAATGCAATGTGTATATTTAAATTGCATTTTAAAAAAAAGAAGGATACTGTGTTAGTGGTTGCGACACGATTTGTATCTAGATAGGACGTAACCATATACTCTTTGGAAAATCAGATATTGAATTCAAAAGAGACAGTAAATATACCTATCTTTAAAAAAAAAAAGAATTTCTTTCTACTCATCAAATTATTTGCTTTGTTTGTCAGTAAGTTTGTATCGTAATTTTCGTTAACACACGTTCAATGAGCGAGCGCGCTTGATCCATTATCAGTCTGGCCCCGACCTGAAAGTTTGCCTGTTTTTTTTTATTTATGGTACTGTCCTTTTGTATTTACGGTTTGGCACAAGCCATTTGGTAAAATAAGAGATCATATTCTATACATTATAGCAGTACGTAACACCTTCCCAAAGTTAATTGTGTAAAATTTCTTAAATCGGAACTGCGGCCGTCCAATAAGTTTTGCCACTTTTGTCAACTCTTCAAGAAGCAGATACCCAAAACACACACTTAAACACATACAACTTACTTTCTTACTCTTACACACACAGACGGGAGTGAGCATTTAGGAATTAATTAATTGTTATCCAATTAAATACTACAAGCAAAACTGACCATAACTTTTTTATTAACAAAGTACGTCATTTATGCGCATTGGTTTTGTGTAGGCCTAATGTTTCGTATTTTAATTATACTTTACAACACTGACACATACATACGAATATACACGAAACAAATTTAACAACGATATTCTTTCTTGATAAGTCACGCTTTATTCACCACACTTTCTACACGGGAATAGAATTTCTGGGGGGAAAAATATTGCACATTTTGTAAATCAGATTCTTTTTTTTTTAAATAAAGAAATTTTTATTGATATTTGGAGATGGCCTTTGAAGTAATTGTAACATTACTCACGTGCGTTTTTTTTTTAAGTGGTTCTAAAGAGTGTCACAGCGGTTTCTCTCCCGGGATCCAGGACGATGTTTAGTAAACAAAAGATTTCCCAGAAAATGTTTCAAACCCGGGAAATCCTGTAAAACCGTGAGTACACANATATATATATATATATATATATATATATATATATTTGAATTTCTGGAAGTGACACATTGTCCCAAATTGTCGCTTTAAGCAAAGACCTGTAGAAAATTAATTGCCCTAAATTATTAGGTAAGAAGCTCTAGTACGCACGTCCTCAAGCTTTTTCAAGTTACACCCACATTTACATACAAGCAAAGAGACCCTTACCACAATATATATGGTAAAAAAATGTTGATTATTTGGGTAAATACATGGGAAGCAAGACATGTTAAAACTTAATTTTCAAGTATAATGTAATGTATTACATATTTAATGTTATCAGTTAAATGTTAACCAAAGCTTTAAGACAACAATTAAAAAAGAAAAATATTTAAATATCAATACTTGTAATATTCTACTGTTTCAGTCGGTGACCCCCAAATAAATCCTTGCCCAACACCATGGCCTGGGCACTTTGACTTATTGTGCTATAGTAACTTTTCGTCCCAGGATGTTCTTGTCTCAAGCCAGCTTTTTATTTCCAAAATCAACATAGTAAGACATAAACATAAATAGATACATTAAAATTCCTAATTATTTTTATTTTCGAAACAAACCACTAGTTACAAGAAGTTAGAATTGTTTACGTGTAAATATTTAATGACATATGCAAAACTCGCTTTACGGATGTGTAAAAAAAAAAGTAATCCAAATTTTGCTTCACAAGCACGTAATTTGTTATTATTATGTCAACTACAACGAGTTGATAAGCAGAGAAAAAATGAAGCAACTCGTAGAATGGGACAAACTTCTCAACCTTAACATTGTTTTTATTCATTTATAGAAAATATTTAACAACTTATAAAAATTAAGTCTTTCAAAGTTTACTTCAGTTTGTAATATATATTTTTAATGACACTAATTTATCCCGGTGATTCCCGACAGATCCCGGGATACCGGAAAGAAGAAAATTGTATTCTCTTTATCTCGGATTAGCTAAACCCTTAGATATGAGAAGCCTTAGTAGTCCCACGCTTTCCTATACACCAGGTTGTACAATTTCCGGAGGTTTCTTAAATTTCTGTTTACATTGTGTACATAAAAACTGTTGGAATATTATTATTCCAAAAACATGTGTACATTTAACGATAAGATAAACAAAAAAATACTGCCTCCTCCTTAAAATAAAATTTAAAAAATCTTTTCAATCATTTTATCTTACAATCATTACAAAAAGCAAGGAGACTTTTGTCTTGAGCATATACAAACAATTCTAAAAGGTATTACACAAACATCCATGCAGATGTGATGGTAAACATGGTAAATATGGTAAACATGGTAAACACGGTAAAGATGGTAAATATTCAAAAGAAATATAAAACTTTGAATAAAACCTTATTAGGTATAACACATTTTTTTAAAAGAAAATGTTTAATAACTTTGGTAATACTAATTGTATTAAAGAAACGTTTGTATAAATATGTGTAACAAATGAATGTAAAGAGCATGACACACTGAAATATTTAAAAGAGATTCTGTATACAATTGAAAAAGAATATGATCTTTTTGAGTTAAATGCCATTGTAAACATTCCAATAAGGAAGATGCACATAATAAATGAACACATCCATCTGTGATTTGTGGACCAGAATAATAATAATATCAAGGCCATTTTTTTAAATTATAAAGATATATAACGTATATTTGGAGCAGTAATGAAAACATGACAAATTAAAAGTCCTAAATGTGGACTTTTAAATAGTTCCATTTTCTTCATGAAATGAATTCCAGCGTAAACAGTAGACTAGAAAAACACTTGATTCACAAAACAGAAGAAAAAAAATTAATTCTTGTTAAATTATTGTGCTATCTATATACAAAATATTTAATTTATATTTATTTCAATTATTTTAAAACACATTTTTTTGAATTTCACTTTTTTGTCGCGGGAGTGGGTGCTTTTTTTTTTTTTTTTTTTGAATAAAATGAATATTGTTGTAGATCAAATGAATAATTTCAGTATATACATTTAAATCGTTTGATGGGAAAATGACATGTGACACTTGTGTGTTGATTTATATAACCTGTTATCACTATGATCTTTTTTATGGCTATGAAAACTGTATAAATGCAAAAAATTATTGTCTCATGTCTAAGTATATTTTAAATTAGTTAAAGCTGTATAATCTAAAAACTACTTACTTGGGGAGGTGAATTAGTACGTGGGACAAGAGAAATTTTAGGATGGCAGACGTCCCATTTTATAATGGGATATTTTTATTAACATTTAAGTGGAGATGCAATTTGTAAACCTTTTTTAAATGGTACATGTTAATTTATTATGCATAAAATTTAACAACACGAATAACAATAAAAAAGTAATATTAAAAAAAATGAAAATTAGCATGGACTGAATCTATCGCATCTAATTACGCAATTTGACAATAAGCTTTAAAAATTACTAATACCTTTTTAAAAAAAGACTTGTGGCTATTCTTCGCTAAGTAGTGATGAACACACGCATGAAATGTGACAATTTAAAGAAAAATATTTAAAATTTAAACGAATACACCTTTAATTGATTTATTAATAATCAATTTATAAATGGATCACATGCTTTTTTTGTTTTTGTTTTTGTAAGTGTAATTTTGTTTTTAAAAAAGTGTGCACGCCATAAAAAAAATTACATGTAATCATACAAATGATCAAATGGATGCTTTCTTAAATTGTATCTCTTGATCAAAGCACAAGAGAAGTCGATTCGAACATGCGTGCGTTTATCGTTATCTTGCAGTTCTAAGTGCAGCAAATCTCCCTCTGACAGCTCAGTGAAGTAAGTGACGCTCTCGTCGCCTTGCAATCGATACAGGAAGTGACACTCGGCAGGCTCTGTGTCACTGTCAGATCCTTTAGTTGTTTAGCATATGCGTGTGTTCAAGAGCGTATTATTCTTATATTTGACGGATGTACTGATGCTATAAAACCCATTGGCCGATACTGGAAATAGTCCTTTTCTTTCATCCACCCCTTGAAGAGAACAGTGACGTTTGAAATCTTTCGAAAAGTCTGAGTGTGGGGGCAGATTAAGTTCGGAAAAGTCAGAGAATGCCACCAAAGTTTCCCAAAATTTTAGATCTGTTTAAATAACAATAGTAAAAATTATTACATTTTATATCTTAGACCGGTGGATCTCAATTTTTGTTTGTGAGTCACGAACTCTCGTTTAATACACGTTTTACCAGGTCATCCCCAAACAAATTCTTAACAAGTGCCCAACGAAAATGCGAATATTTTATGTTGCATCAATCACTTAATTTATCAAACCATGCTTTAATGAATGTCTATCAAAATTATTTTTAATTTACTTTGTAGCATGCCTCCAACACTGTCATTCTATGGCCTCTCTTTTAAAACCAACTTTTATGGACGAAACACAAAAGTCAAAATAAATGTCCCAATATGTAAGATGTTTTCGCTTCTTCATACGTTGGTAGCATTTGGCGTTGTCACACACTTTTTTTTCACTATCACTCCGTTTTAAAATCGAACACTTAAAGAAAAAAACGAACAAACTTACTTTTATAGCTTTACGTGATATAATCACAACATTAATCCGCGGATGAAACCTTTCAAATCTAAATCAAAGCTAGAAGCACATGAAAGCTATATCTATTTATAAACGAAAATATTCGCTACATGTAATCAATAAAAGCACCATTTGTAAGGCTAATGCAAAACGGGTTTAAAAAATATTGAATCCTATTACATTAGGAGATTTTTTAAACCCTTCGTGGCACCAATGTGATGAGGTTTGGGAACCTCTGAACTAATTAATAGATCCTTAATAATATAAGGAAAAACATTTCGAAAAAAAAACCTGACAAATAAAAGAGGCTTTTTAAAGATATATTCTTTCTGAAACTGGTTCATCTTTAAATCTAAAATTTAGAAATGCTTAAGTCATTAAGGTGCTTAACAAAAAACTTGTTTGAAACTCAAACAGTAAAAGGAACCCGCATTGTTTAATTCCATTGACAAGATTAGTTTTATGAAGGGAAGCTCTCACCGATAGATTCAATTTCCCGGGTCACCACTTTCATATTTTATTCAATGCCATCTCTCTGAAAATCAACCACACACATTTACAATTAAGTGTTTCCAAATTGCAAGAGCATTTATTACAAGAGAATCATAAAAACACATATCACGTGTTTCAAATTGAGCGCAAAATTTTCATTTAATTTCTGGCCTTTTTCTTTGTAAATCTACTTAATTTAATGTAGAAAAATGTATTTAGATTTATGATTAAAATAATCAGTAGATCTATTTACCTTTGAAGTGCTGCTATCTTTCATCACCAAATTTGTGTTGAAAGTATCTTTTAATTCCTCAACGGAAGACAGGCTCTTGAAAACAAGCTGACAAAGCAGTCCATACTTCTTATCCTAAAATCAATAAATAATCTGTTTAAAAAATTTTTTAATGTATTAAATAGCCTAATAATATATTGATTTGCACTGTATTGAGATTGTAGACCGGCGGTCAAAACTGAGTCAATACTGAGCTTGTAAACTATAGTTCATTCGCTAAGAAAAACCTAGTCAAGCAAAAACACCACCTGCACCTTGTTGGGACTCGTTAGCCGTGAATGGAAACACATCTAAGAGAAGAAACATTCTAAATTCAAAAACCCGTAAGGCGATTAACATTGACACAATGAAAACTACTTCGACTCTACTGGTGCCCGAGATAATGAAAACTACTTCGACACTACTGGTGCCCGAGACAATGAAAACTACTTCGACACTACTGATGCCCGAGACAATGAAAACTACTTCGACACTACTGATGCCCGAGACAATGAAAACTACTTCGACACTACTGATGCTCGAGACAATGAAAACTATTTCGACACTACTGATGCCCGAGACAATGAAAACTACTTCGACACTACTGGTGCCCGAGACAATGAAAACTACTTCGACACTACTGATGCCCGAGACAATGAAAACTACTTCGACACTACTGATGCTCGAGACAATGAAAACTACTTCGACACTACTTATGCCCGAGACAATGAAAACTAATTCGACACTACTTATGCCCGAGACAATGAAAACTACGTAGACGCTACTTGTGCCAAGCTGTATCATCGGCACATGCTTTTTAATCGTTTTATCCATGTGCGTGGAAAGATGTTATTTGTTGTCTAGGGAATCAGTTTATTCCCCTAAAGAAAAATTCCAGGTCTTGTGAATACGTCCTGCGAAGCTTACACCATCGTCACGCTGTGAATGGGGGATGTCAGGAAAATATATCCTTTATTAATCCTACATTCATCATTTTTACGGTTTAAACTTTTCAAGACAGTTTCACTTGAATAATACATGCACAAAATTATCAAAATAAAACTTCAAGCAATCGTTAGTTAAAAATAAAGTCACATAATATTCTTCAGTACGAATCGTTTTTCTGCTTTTGTTTTTTTTTGTTTTTTTTTTTGCTTTTTTACGTTTAAAAATAATGATTATTTTACATAGATTAATTACAGTAAAGAAGAAAAAATAAAATCACAAAATTAAATTATTTAAAAATAATATAACTTACTAATGTATCATATTTTTCAACACTGAGGGTGCAGGGGTTCTCAAGTTGATCGGAGAACTTACAAGACAGGGACTTAAGCGAATCTTCAAGTTTTTTAACTTTTTCAGCAATAGCATCGAATGTATCTTCTGAACGCTCAATTTTGTTAGACAAATCTTCCATAGATTTCATGGCATCCTTTTCAAAACTGTTTCTGGAAAAGAACTGAGATGTCAAGCCTTTCACTGAGTCTGCGACTGTTTTAATTTCTTGCTCAAGTGTCTCAATCTTGACTTGATTCTGATCAAGTTTGTCCTCAAAATCATTTAGCCCTTTTTGTAATTCCTTGCCTTTTTCCTGTTTTTCATTTCTGAATAAATAAATTTGTTCATTTATGTCTTCCTGATGACAGCGCAGATCTTGAAATGTTTTTCCCAGTGCCGTTTGTTTCTCTTCAAATTCTTTACTCCTTTTTTGCATACGGAACACAATCTTCTCGAGTGATTCAATGTCTTTTCTTATTTGGTCAGACGTCATGGTTTCTGTGAACATTCGTAATTGATGAAACATATCATGTATATAATGACTAACATTTTTTTTTCAAAGTACAAAAGTAGAACATTTTAACGTGTAAACCTACGCATTTCAGAGGAAAACCAAAATTTAAGTTTATTATTTAACTTTCTTAAAATAAATGTACTCTTAGGAAAATAATTATTCTGCAAAAATCAAAATTACTTTGTACTGCATCTTCAAATGATGGACAGCAAAGGGGCAAAGTCAACATCTAACCCCAAGAGGCGTATCTAAGAGGGCAAGGGGGGAAAGATTCCCTGAGCACCAGACTAGTTAGAGGAGCCTAAATTTGTTTTTATTTTTTTTTTATTGATGAAAATAATGGGTTTGAGAGTTGAAAAAAGAACGGGAGGTTCTTAAACATGAATATTGTCCCCAAGAACCAAACACTCTAGGTACGCTTCTGTCTAGCCCTACTCAGTGGCGTACTTTGATTGTTAGCAAGCTCCTACATAACACATACACACACACGATTTCTATATATTAAAACCACCAAAAGTTTGACCCAGCGCGGTCGAACCCTTCGCGCCCCGCTTATGTAACGGTTTTCCACAGTCTCATCATGTTGAAACATAAAAAAAAATATTCTTACTTGTTACCATTTACCGTTATCAAAAAGCATTTAATAGAAATAAAACACGTGATTTTTTATATTTGGCTTAATGTTTTTCTAAATTATTACCAGTTTCTTGATCATTATCCTCTAACACAAAACCTAAGTGAGCTTTGGAATTTGAGGCTGGTCTGAAGAGGAGTTGATTTTCAGTTCCATTCTTTAACGCACCTGCAAGTAAGTAAAGAAGTTAAGACATTGTAATCCACTGCGATTGTTATGAACACAAAAAATTGTGTTTAAAACATTATCATTCATCTTATGTGTAGCGATTGGTAGTAAAATAAAATGATGTCTTGAGTCGTTTAACACCTTTCTTTGGTTTACACTAAGTAAAAATTTCGAAAAAAACTATATTATATAGAGAAAAAAGTGCCGTTTTGGGGGGCTACTAAGGCTACTACGTCACTGGTGCAGACGCACTTAAGCGAGCCAAAAATACATAAAGATTTGATTCTGCAAAATAAAATGCTTACAGAATAATTAGTTATTATTTAAATCAATACCTTTCCAAAACATGAGTGAACATTAAATCAAAATACAGACAACGCATGTTTCTAATTTATGGCGAGTACCTTTAAATTCATTGGTCTTTGAGAGGATGTACACAATCACTTGTTGAACTAGTGTGTACATATGTTCAAATCGTCTTTGAAAGTCGATATCTTCAACATCTAAGGACAGCACTTCAGACTGAACCTATAGTAAATGCAACGACAATTGTGAAATGAAATTGCAATAATATATTTTCTTTAGCATGAATTCCCATTTCATATTTTAATTATATTATCAGTGCATTATGAATTGAAGATAGATAGATAGATAGATAGATAGATAGATAGATAGATAGATAGATGGATAGATGGATGGATGGATGGATGGATGGATGGATGGATGGATGGATGGATGGATGGATGGATGGATGGATGGATGGATGGATGGATGGATGGATGGATGGATGGATGGATGGATGGATGGATGGATGGATGGATGGATGGATGGATGGATGGATGGATGGATGGATGGATGGATGGATGGATGGATGGATGGATGGATGGATGGATGGATGGATGGATGGATGGATGGATGGATGGATGGATGGATGGATGGATGGATGGATGGATGGATGGATGGATGGATGGATGGATGGATGGATGGATGGATGGATGGATGGATGGATGGATGGATGGATGGATGGATGGATGGATGGATGGATGGATGGATGGATGGATGGATGGATGGATGGATGGATGGATGGATGGATGGATGGATGGATGGATGGATGGATGGATGGATGGATGGATGGATGGATGGATGGATGGATGGATGGATGGATGGATGGATGGATGGATGGATGGATGGATGGATGGATGGATGGATGGATGGATGGATGGATGGATGGATGGATGGATGGATGGATGGATGGATGGATGGATGGATGGATGGATGGATGGATGGATGGATGGATGGATGGATGGATGGATGGATGGATGGATGGATGGATGGATGGATGGATGGATGGATGGATGGATGGATGGATGGATGGATGGATGGATGGATGGATGGATGGATCGATCGATCGATCGATCGATCGATCGATCGATCGATCGATCATTTTTGTCAATTGTCGAAATGTAACTCTTGATGTCCTGTGGTCATCCACTCTTCTAATCCAGACGCTCATCTATGGGACATCCTAGTACCATACAAACCAGTGTGACCGACAACAAACACTGGATATATCGATATGAGTTCACTATATAGTTTTAATATGCCAAGTAAGCCTGACAAATCAGTGTACTTCACAATACCATTTGTAAACTTATCAATGTTCAACTCCACTAACTATCTAGCTGAATCTTCACACATAGAAAGCTAAGCCTTGAACATCTCACAACAAGCTATGTCTTGAACAGCTCACAGCGGCCATCTCTATTCTTCCATAACAACAACAAAAACTAACGCGTCATATCACCTTATACAATTACGTCACAACACTCTCACACAAACGGTACTGTTACACGTAACATCTCTAACTCAACATCTTTCCCTATCAAACATGAAAACAATCCTCTACACATAACAACAGTGATTCTCATACCCTTTACATCAATATTAAAAAAAAATTATATTAAAAACGTTCTACAGAGTACATGAAAATTTAATCAAGAAAGAGATATATCAATGTATGGCAAATGAAGAAGCATTTCTAATTTTAGTCCAATGTATAATTTTCTAGAAACTTTGCAATAAAATAGGACTAACATAATATACTTCATCTAAAAGTCTTTTTTTTTTTTTTAAAATCAGCTTGTTTTATGGTTAAGTCTTTATTTTTTTTAAAGGAACACAAAAAACAACAACTGATAAATCAAATGATGAAAAAAAAATATTTTAAAATTCGGTTTGTAAAATAGCTTAGACTTTAGATTACCTTAAAATTCGTTACACTTTTACAAGCTTAAAATTTGTTAGACTTAGATTACCTTAACTAAAAATTCCAACAACGTTTTGTTATAATGTTCTGTTACTTCCTGAAGTGCACCAACTTGTTGTGTTAGGATTTTATGACACATCTCATTTTGCTTGTTTGGGGAGGACATTTTCTCAATCTCTCTTTAAGAAATAATGCTTTCTTTGGTTAAAGTATAGAACAAGAATATTTGTATACACACTTTATAGCAGTTAACTGCGAAATACCAAATAAATGCTGGTGCGAGTTGGCGAATACATTTATTGAGCTACCTAACATAAATAACATTGTTACACTTTCATATTACATAAATTTTAAGGAGTTTCGCAATTTAGCCGTGATGAATTCATAACGATTATATGATTATTACGAAAATTAAATCAATTAATTAAAAAAAACCCCTCGTAGTAAAGATATTTATAGCACCTACTGGCACAGGTTCTGAAATAAGCAAATTTCATTTTAGTCAGCAGTTCCCAAAATGTATTTAATAGGGTTACATTTTGAAAAGTTTTTGTCAAGTTTTCAAACCCGTAACATAATTATTTCTATAAATTTAAAAACAGGTGTAAAGAATATAATGGTGGTTGGGGAGGATAGCTAACGAATGAATCAATTTAAAAATAGCTTTAGCTTTAGCTTGAACGGTAAGTAGTGCAAGTACAAAATATGGACAATGACACACATATCTTGCCCGAACACATTTTAAATCATTTTGAATACGAAAAAAGAAAGATGGTACGAATAAGATAAAAATGCATGTAAAAGGAACGAATAACGCAAATTTCTGAAGATTTTTAAAATTAAAACCTGGTCTATAGTCGGAAGATCACCTGAATTCACGACAAATAGGTTGAGATGTGCTGATATATGTGAGACTTTATTAAATGTGTACATAATTATTAAAATTATTTAAAGGCCTCACTGTTTAAATAAAATGCGCTAAAAGGTGTTGTTGTTTTAATACTTAATCACACGTCGTGGACTAAATTCAATTTGTTGTATTTACAATCAATAATTACAATCAAATATTACAAAATAATGATTATTTAAAAAAATAACATTTTCAAAAAACATTTTTTTTTAAAATCGTTATTTGGCGAATGTGATAGTGATTAGTCTGATGTTTAACTTAATCAGGAGAGTATATGAAATTTAAAATATTCCGAAAATCATAAACATGATAATAAAAAATAAAGTCTGTTAGGTCCATTTTTAATGTTTCTAAAAAAATCTAATTTTGCATGCTCGTGAGAATTTTATATTGTTCGATTAGAATATAGAGAAGCTAACTTACGTTTAAGTTTATGTGTAGCAAATTATGGATCTTGCTTTCATTAACCATAAATTCTCTGTGTGAGCGCGTTTAGAACTATGCGTACGTCACGAGTGTCTAGTGTGACTGATTGTGTAAATGAAAGCAGCACATACTATTTTAAATGTATTATAATTCATGCAGTTATCTTTAAAGAAAACACAACTATAAAGTATTGCAATTGTTACCCGAAAAAAACTATACCAAATCCAAATATTTTTCACAACCAATATTACGTTTTCCCGATTCTTTCAGAAGATTTTATAAGAAAAATTACCGGAAATTCCCTAACTAAAATAGAAAAGACATGTCCACATGTACATCTAATCATAAACTAATTTATTTATAATATTTGATATATATATCTAGCAATAATTTTATTACTTTACAACGCTACAATATGAGATTATGCTTTAAAACAAATTAAAGAATAACTGAAAGCTCGTGCAACAGCTGTATCAAATGAGAATGACACAATTTTTCGATATTGGGCTTAATTTATGACATTCCTAATTCTGTAACTGTTGTCGACAATTATATTATTTGCTCAGTTTTGCTACAAATAATATTTAATTTAAATTAAAATAGTTAATAATTTCTAAATATTTGATTCGTTTCTGTATATGTTATAAATTCTATGTATGAAAGGTAAAAACAATGAAACATACACAATCATACTCAAAATAACACACCCACACACACATACACATCCACGCACTCACAAATCGGCCAACACACACATATGTATAAATATATATATATATTTTTATATATATGTGTGTTTGTGTGTGTGTAGGACGATAGACAGACGGATACACGGACAAACGGACAAACAGAGGAACATACAAAATGATATGATAGATGGACAGATAGATATAAAGACAGACAGATAGATAGATAGATAGATAGATAGATAGATAGATAGATAGATAGATAGATAGATAGATAGATAGATAGATAGATAGATAGATAGATAGATAGATAGATAGATAGATAGATAGATA